CATTAGCTTTTTGTTTAAAGCAGCAAATTCCTTAGCAGTCTTTTATTTATCGCACTTAAATTATAGGGTAAATTATAACATTGACCATTCAACTACTTATTCCTTTTACTTTTACAACTGATCTATTAATTAAATCACCTAACTATTTAATTATTATCAATCAAGCCACCTGTTGTTAATAGTTGATGGAAGTGCTGACATGATAGTTAAAAAAATTAGCATAATTATACATTTAGTCCTTAATACCTATACATTATATCAATTTAATATTAATTTTAATTTAATAAATTTAATCATCTAATCAGATTGTGACACGTGTCACAACATGAATGGAAGTTTTCTTTTAATTTAATTATTTTATTTTCCACCGAATCAGTCACCATCTAATTGGATGGAAAATTGATGCTAAAGCAGAAATCACAAAGAGACGAGGAAGGGGAATCGAATGTGCAATATTGGATTTCAAACCAACGCCCAAACCACCAAGCTAGGAGCACTTCCTGGTATCAAAATGAACAACATACAGTAATGAATGAAAGAAAAGATATATATATATATATATATATATATATATATATATAAATCAATTTAATTTTGTTAATAAATACATGAAACTATTTGATAAAATTAACAACAATATATATATAATCATTAAATTTATTTTTGTGTTAAGTAATAATTTTAATTTTCTTGCTAATAATTTTACATATATATATAAATCAATTTGTTATTTTTTTGATTTAAAAATCAATTTATTTTAATTAAAAAGATTTATGAAATTATTTTAAAAAGTAAATTATTTGATAAAGTTAACAATAATTTATACATATAATCATCAAATTAATTTTTTAACTTAAGAACAAATTTAAAAAATTTATTAATACTTTCATATATATATATATTACTCAAAATTATTTTAAAAGCTTTAACAATAATGTATATATATATATATAATCAGTAAATAATTTTTTAACTTAACAATTCTTTTCTTAACTTTGTTTTCTTTCATTCTTTACAGTATGGCAAATTTTATAAGTTGCTTTGAAACTAAGCATTGCCCCTACCTTGGTGGCTTCAGCGTTTGTTTTTAATCCAACTATGCACAGGTTCGAATCCCTCATCACCCCTCTTTGTCTTCTTCTAGTATCATTTTTTTCATCCAATCCGAGGTGATATGTGTCACCATATGTTTCGGTAGAAAATATAATAATTAAATTAAAAAAATTCTTTCAATGTTGTGATACATGTTACAATCTTATTAGATAATTAAATTTATTAAATTAAATTAAAATTATTATCAAATTGATATAATGTACAAGTATTGTGGATTAAATGTATAATTACACCAATTTGTTTAACTGCAACGTCAACACTTCCGTTAACTATTAACAACAAGTGGCTTGATTTACAACAATTAAATAATTAAGTGGTTTGATTGATAAAAATAAATAATCGGTAGTAAAAATAAAAGGATAAATAGTTTAGTGGTCATTAATATAGTTTATCTTAAATTATAAATGAAAAGTAAATTGTGTGAATTATTAGCACAAAAAGTTATGGTGGAAGAAATTATGATGTAATTGAACCAATACTTTATTTTGAAACTAATGCAAAATGTAAACCTATGTTTTGTCACTCGCATTTTGTCTGTACTTATTTAACTTATAAACCAAGTTTTATTTTAAAGATAAAATTAAAACATATGATATGATTACCAAAACATATCATCAGTGCCGCATCTAATTATTTTCTTCCTCGTTCAATATTATTTGTTAAAAGCATGTTTGTAACTAATGAAGTTTGCTGATATTCAAGCTTCATTCAATATTAAGAAATGTTAAAGAATGAAGTTTGCCGATATAGAAAACAATGATCAGAACTGTGAAATTATTTGTTAGTAAAGAAAATCGTAATGCATATGCTCATTACACTAATATCGTAAAGATATTTAATTGTAATGCATATAGTCATTAATCTACTTTCACTTTAATAATGAATATTCCACAAATACTGGAATAAACTAGTGGTTGCTGCTGTTGTTAAAACTGGATTAGGATTCTGATTTAAAATTTAATCCCGCTGCTGCTGTTGTTTGCTGATGTTTACTATTGTTGTCGTTTGCGGGGTTAGGATTCTAATTTGAACTTGACTCACTTGTAACCTTTCAACTTTCAATTAACTTCTAATTTTTGTTACTGTTGTTTGTTGCTGTTTTTCTGGCGTGGAGCCATTTTTTCAAGCAAATGATAGCAGTTCTCTGTCCATATGCATGGCTTTGTGATGAATTGGAATAGAGAGAGAAGCAACATATCAAAGAAAAAATGAAGAACTTCAATACCAACTTGAAGTTATAAAGATGATGTAGCAGAATCACGCGAAGAATTCATCATCCCACGTGATTTCTTAGGTTAATGCATTATTTATTATGGTGAACAATGTTGAATTACGTTACATTTCACTTGGAGGTTTGTATATTTTGATTTTTTCATGTTTTAAAATATTTTTACTTAATTCAAATCGTAATTAAATTTCAAAGTTGCAATTGGATATTGTTATTGGTTAAATTTGGGTATACATAATAGGAAAAAAAACATTTGAAAAATTAGTTTTGATTAGCTACGTTAGTACCAAAAACCACTATATATCATAAAAATTAGTGGCGTTTGTGGCAAAAAATGCACTACATACATGACAATTAGCGGCGTTTATAGCAATAAAACGCCGCTAAATAATTAAACCTATTGTGGCTTTTTATCTAAAAAACGACACTAAAAGTTGTGGTGCTTGCACTAGTGGTGTTTCTGGTGGCGTTTTTTCTGTGTCGCGAGTATAGCGTAAAACGCCGCCATAAATCTAATCTGCTGTAGTATTGTCTGTTGCAACTCAAATATCTTAGAGACTGCTTGTCCTCCACGTGTCATTGTTTCAACTTTTAATTCACTCTCCAATTCCACTTCTCGTATCTTTCTCGCATTTTCTCTTATATAAATTATCAGTGTCGGTACAGAAGAAAAAAAACATTGTCGCTATAAAAGATCTTCACTGTTATCTCTTATTTCGTTTATATGCAATTGTTGGATAGATCAAGAGCAGTGTCGGAGACACAGTTTGATAAGGGTGAGTATGTATGCACCTTAAAATTCGATTTTTTTTTCGATTAGTTTTTTATTTTATTAGTGGTGTCCACCTTGAAATTTGAGTTTTTTTTATTAATTATTTATTTTACGGATGATGTCTATTATGAAATTTTATTTGTACTCCATCCTATTTAAAATTTTTATGTTGTTAACCAAGTGTACAACATCGTAAGGCTAATAGGCAAAGATAACCATACAAAATCCCCCACTCTAATTTGACTCTCTGTGTTTTCGGCATATCATGGTTGCGCCCTCAAGCCCAAAAGGCAACGGGCGCATGTTGATAAATCATTCGGGGTATTTACATCACATAAATAGATAAACAAATTTGCAGGTATCTAAGTCAACATATTTTAGTGCAGGTTGATGGATGCATGTTGAGTTCATGAAGATACTGTTCTTCATACACGCATGGATATATACAAAAATTCATATCAGGATACTAACTAGTATACACAATATTTAGAAAGTTTGTAACTAGAGTGATGAGATATGGATTTAACGAGTTTCAACCTAACTTGAACCTATTGATTTTTTTTTAAATTGAGGATTAGTGATTTTTTTAGAGTATAAATTTAGATCGAATCGGATTATAGTTTAGTGTGAAAAAAATAGAATCTAAAAAGAATAAAAATATTATAATTTATATATTTTAAAAAAATTATAATAATAACATTCTATATTACTTTTTCTCAATTAGTTTTTATTTAATAGAATAAAATTAAAAATTATATATATTTGTGTCAAGTCGAGTGTAAGTTTTATCTTAAAGGATAACAAGGTTTAAATCGAATGAAACCATCTTAAATTTTGATTCAATCATATTGTAGACATATTTTTATCAAATGAGGTCAGATTGATTAAAAACTTGACTTATGCTCGTCTCTGTATATCGTTACAAAATTAGACGGTATGAAATTAAATTATGAATAAAGAATATAAAAATTTATCGTTGCATACAACCACACCCAAAGACTCCCTCTTTGCATACACGTGCTATAATACGTTTAAACAGCAATCCCACGAATAGCAAATAAAGGTCTGAGTGGACAGCCACTAGGTACATGCTTAAAGTGTAGAAAGAAAAGATGTTTCAAAAATATGTTAAATCGACCCACCAACTTCATGTCTTTAAAATGTAGCAAGTGATTTAAAGTTAGCTTTTGTGAAGCCATTTGGATCGTACGGTCTACTGACTGTAAGGTCATGTCCAGGAAGCGACAAAAACATACAATGAGAGTAAGGCCATGTAAATTAAATACTCTTGGTCAATGTGCTTAATGCTCCCGGAAGGTCGACTTCTCAAATGGTAGCGGCTAACTAAGGAAAATGTTAGACTATCCGTGTAATTGTAAGGTAATCTACTGCATGCTTTCAGCTGGCTTTCTACGTGATCCTCTTCTTTACGCGACCTGCTAAATAAAACTTGGGTCACCGAAAGTCTGCCAATGCCTATGGTCCTCTTTTCTTCATTACGTTTCTTCTTCGTATTTGACTTCTCCTCCTATATGATTCTCTCTCTTTGTAGATATTGGGTCGTGGATGATGTCACGTAAGATAACGATGAGAACGGTTGTGGGGTCAATGCAGTCGATAGGTGTTTAGGAGTAGTATGTGGGTTCAGATGATGGTGTAGGTGGTTTTAAATGATGATGTGGTGGTTGCTGGTGTGTCAGTGGGTTCGGATGATGATTGAGGTTGACACAATCGATTCGGTTGATGTTGTAAGAAACGGTGTGACAAATGAGTGAGACAAAAAATAAGCAATCAGAGTGTAGGCTTCAAACATTTGAGATTTCAACAAGTAGAATAGCGTGTAAAGCAAGTGTGAAACCATGATGTCTAATTAAAGGAAAAGAAATATGAGTGGAAATGAAAATTCTTGAACCTAGTCAATCAATTCAATTTAATCCTATGTGCATGAAGCAAAAATAATACAAAATGGACTCTCAAGCATTAACTTGGAAGCAAGTAGTAATCAGCTCGTATAAGGCTGTGCTCCGATTTTGTGCTTCAACTCTGGAAAATATTCACATAAACCATATATGTTTTGTTAAATACACACTGCGTGTCATTGTTTGTCACCGGCACAACAGTGAAGAGGACATGAATTCTGCAGATAAATATTCGGAAGCAGAAGCCAATCCATGCAACGTTCACCTGCTGAAAAATAATTGGAAAATCCTTTACCGATAACTTACTATGCAATTTCCTCAAGTATTTTATATGTGCATACTGATGTAACACAGCAAGAAAAGAAATGAAATAAGCATAGCTTTATTTCTGTTTTTGCTCCTTTTGGTCACAATTTCTTACTCACTTTTAGCCCTTGCTGTCCTCAAACACTCAAATCAAGCCACACGAGAAAAATTTAAAAAAATTGTCAGACAAAAGGAAGAAATAACTAAACTTTCAAGTAAATAATACCTTAGTAAGCTCACATTTGATTATAATGAGAGACAAAGTCCTTCAACTTTATTCTTTCCAGTTATATGGAGCACGCTCGACAACTAAATAATCATCCCTGATATCCTTCACAACTCGAATCTCGTCATCAAGGTAGACAGTCTCAAACCTATACAGAATCTTAAGAACAGTAAAATATTTGTTTGCTTCGTCAGAAAGAACAGGAAATTATATGACAGTCTGACAGAGAGATGAGCCCATAACAATTTTTCATAAAGCACAATGAAATGTTCCTGTTGGATGAACAATGAAACTTGAAAACATCAGTAGTAAACATGTTTCTATGGAATTGCAATTCAAGAAAAAACATCAAGGAGGAATGGACATAATTTAGCTAATGCTAAACTTGGAACCCAGATTTCCAAATGCAAACCAAGACCTAAAACTATTTATTGCAGTAAAACAAACAAGAAATTAAAAACCAAAAGTTTAGATCACACATAATAATAGATTTCTCAAAAAAAAAAAAAAAAAAAAAAAAAAAAAAAAAGAGAAGAAGATACAAGTACTAACCAACCCTGCCCAAATGGAGGCAATGGGATCTCCCAGTTTTTCCCCCTGAGAACAGCGCTCGTAAACCTAAAAGGTCCAATCAAATTTGACCAAATATTTAAGCGAGATGAAAAGAGCAATAACTAAAATTAGTTTGAGCCAAAGAAGCAATCACTTGAAATTCACTCTCTGAGACGACGCAACCTCAATGCTAGAGCGAACAAAGAAAACTCCGTCAGGGGGGAAGGTAATCACGTTGTTGAGAGTCTTGTTCTGGACGTCAATGACCTGCAAAACGTCGCCGGCTTGAGTACCGAACAGGTAAGCCTTCTCTATTATGAAGAGCTGCTCTTTCTCGGTGGTCCAAAGGAGCCGCCACGTGGCTGAGAGGGAGACGCCAGTGGTGACCGTGTCGCGGCCCAGGACAGCCATGTCATCGATGGCTTTGATGATTGAATCGCGTTTTGTGGTGTCGTTTTGGGTTTTGAGGCCCCGGTCTTGATCGGAGATGAGATTGAGGAGGTGTCGTCTGGCGGATTGCGATTGGGCGGTGAGGGAGGAGCATGTGATTATAGGAAGGCGAAAATGATGTGGTTTGGCATAAAAGGAGTTTGGATCATAACGGGATCGTCGTTTTAGTTTGCTGGAGACACTCGGAGGAGATGATATGGTGAGAGCTGCGACTGTCACGGTCATGGCGTTGCCGGATTTTTTTATTTATTTCTTGGCTGATTGAAAAAAACAGTTGAGAAACCAAATGGAATTGGTGGTTCAAGTCGGACTTTGGGAGATAAACTAAACAAGTGACTGTCTTAATATATATATATATATTACTGTATATTTTAATAAATTAGAAATTAAAGTACAAAAATGTATATATTTGAAAAAGATAACAAACAATATCGACAAACTAGAACCGATTAACCAAAACATAACAATATTAGAACAAAAACGATACATCCGCAGCAGGTACTGTAATGGTAACAGTGAATTTAATACAATTTCATTTTTCAAATAATGGACCAAAACTTCAAGACCAGAAAGTTAAGAAACCAAATGTTATGAACCAGAAATGAATGAAGTTATTAAAACACCATGCCAAGGGGATCGCTTGAAGATATTGTTGAATTTTATTTTACTTATATTACAGATATACTAACATAAATAGATTAGGATAACCAAGAGATGAGACTTGTTAAAACCTTTGGCTGCGGCTATTTTCCTCTCTAGGTTCAGTGTTCCTTACTGAAACCTTTCTATATTCTTTGATCCTATTTTCTCTATTTCTTCTACTGTTACTATTGAAATTGAAGGAAAGTTCAAACCTTGAGAATGGATGTTTGTTTATTTTATACATGTTCCCTGATGTGCAAACATCACAATTGCAATCACCAGGCTCCAATTAAAATTTTAATAACAAAATGTATTCACTCAAAACATCTTGTGTTGTCATGTGAACTTAACAAAACAGCAGGGACAAAGGATTCCTCAAACTGCAATTCCATGATTACTAATTTTTGAAACCTCCTTTGCCAACGTATTCCGTTCTCGCTTCGCCTCAGAAGCAAGTTTGGATACCTAAACATTCATTATATCACAATCAACAAATACATTTTAAAAAAACGGGTCCATTTATTCATATCCAGATAGCTTACCTGCGACCTAAATTGAGATGCTTCTCTGCTTGGAAGTTCTCCAAGGGCATCCTTTAATCCTGACGCAATACATAGAGGGATTTTTCTCAGCCACATTAATGCTGAAAAACAATTTAATGAACCTAATTGAGAGAAAGTGCTTGAATACCTGCTGCTTGTCTTTCAATCTTATAAGCTGACTGAATTACACTTCGGATCTGCTTGCCTGCTTGCCTGAAACAAAATTGAATATGTTCTGAATGAGAAAAATTAGACTCAAGAAGCTGTGGTTAACATTCCACTGCACTTCCTTTGAAATTACAAACCTGAGTTTTGTCCTGCCACGGATCAGCTCTTCTTCAGCTACCGATGCACTCCGCTGGAAACATCAATTATGAAACATATTTCACAAATGTTTGATCAAAGGAACTATAGTTTCCATGTAGTACACAGTTTCTAGTGATATTCTCATATAACGTTAAAATTTTACCGTCTAGTAACTACATCTCAATGTATTTCCAGGATGTCTATTAAGAACAAGAAACTTTTGAAGTAGCTATAGGCATCACCAGATCAACACTTGGTCGGATAAAAACTGTTCGAAAAGTCAGTTCGGCAATTTAAATATTTTTACAATCCTGGGGATTACAAAATTCCATTGAACACACAACCTAAAGTACTAGCTAAAACAGCTCAAGTATACCTTTTGAGATGGTGAATTCTCTGTTTTCATCAACATTTCATTCTTAACTTCTGATTATTATTAAATAAAGAAAAAAATATTACTTATGTGTTTAACATAGAAGAACTCTAGAATAAGCTAAAACGAAGCATAAAAGTTCTCTTCCATTGACAAACACACATGCATAAAACATGTAGTTTCTGGATAAGTGCATTTCATTAAAAAGAAGAGAACCATGCTATTTAAACGACCAGCACAAACCAGAGGAAGCCAAGTTTGCTTTGAAGTTCAAAATCCTAATTTTTGGAAATAACCTGTTTGTGGGGATATCAGGAAAAAAAAATAGAAAATCTAAATTTTACATCACCTAGAATAGCCTATAAAACAAAACTAAAAGCGGAAGTAGGTATGCTAAACAATGCACGAGTGCTAGAAAACGTACATGAACAGATGTCTAATTTAATTAAAGCATGAAACAACTATCACATGATTATAGAATACTTGTCGATATTCGTATGATCAAATGGGGAAAATGTTACCTCCAACTTCTCACTTTCAGCCTTAAGGCGATCAATTGACTGTCTCAGCTCCTTCACTCTAGTATCAGCTTTGAATATCATGGACTGCAAGACCAAACAGTAGGATTATAATAGCGCTTTAAACCGATAAAGAATTTTAATGAGCACAGCCTACAAACTGGTTTCTTTTTTTTCCAAAATAGTCTAATAAAATTAAGAAAAATACTTTCTGACCTGAGTGATTGTGTTATAAACAGAAAAAAACTGATAAAAATATCACTGCATGGGCCATGATGTGCAAAAAGAAACAGAAGTTTCAAAAGGCAGAGCAATAGTTCCTTCTTTGGGAGACAGTCAAGCTGTACGGAATGGGAACATAAGAAGCTATTAAAGCTTCTCCAACATTACGACAACAGGCTATTCCAACTTTCCCTTGACATTTCACAATTCTACTACCTTCTACTGTTGAAAACTTAAATCTTTGCATGCACCTTGAAATCTCATTCCTGTCCTCTTCTAAATTCCAAATTGAAAATAAGTAGTGGGTCTTCTAAAATCCAAATTCTGTATATGTATTTATAAATCTAAATAAATCCACCAACAAAAATCAGGTAGTGAGGACAGACAGGGGACTCCATAAATAATAACTTATAAAGAGAACAGTATTTATGTTACGTCTTCACTCTGAAAAAGGCGCAAGGCCTTGTAATATAGTAAACGTCTTGGCCCTGCACATTGAAAATTACAAAACAATATCAATTAGGTTCAAGTTGTAGATCCAGGATAAAACAACGTAAGTAAGAAGTTGAAGAGAATTGCTTAACATGTCATTTAAGGAATTATAGATATGCAAGCCTAGGAATCATAAACCTGAAAGTAAGCTAAGCAACAACTTAATCAAGACCTCTTCACTATTGCAAAAAACTTGAACTAATCATTAAAATTGGCCATGAAAGAACAGCACTACGACATAGAAAGACCAAGTTTCTATGAATAACACGTTATGCATATTCATTAGAGCATAAAATCACATGGTAGCATCATTTTCAGCATGTAAAAAAAGGGTAGAGATGGATTTAATTGAATCAACTGTTGTGTATACATCTATGAATGCAGAAACTGGCTAAAAATATTATAGAACCATACTTTTAAGTACCAGAAATCCCAAGCCAACAGCAGCACCGCCCGTGATCAATGGATTTGAAGCTGCACTGATAATTCCCTCTGCAACAAAATGTGAAACATTTAAGCTAAAAATTGATTCTCCTATATACGAACAGAATGTGCATGTACTGAATCCGTAGATGGAGCAGACCTTTAGTGTTTTTAAATGCCAAGTTCTCGTAAACATCAAGTAGCGATTTGACATCTTTAAGTGAATCCTAGCAATTAAAAGAGAGAGATATAAATTATCCGTTCTAATTATCAGCTCAAAAAAGAAAAGAGAAGCGTACGATGGTTTGATTAAAATGAGCAGAGGAAGTGGAGCGAATTTCTGAAAGCCGAGATCTAGAAACTTCGATTGTGGCGTTAACATTCCCATCGATGATTTTCTGGTAGAGAACAGCTTGCTCCACAGCGTAATCGATCCATGGAGTGAATTGTTCAGGAAGATGCGATTCGGTTTTAGAAGGGGGATCGCGGGGCGGAGGCTGAGGCGGCGTTGGTGGTGGATTAGGATTTGGGCTATCTTCGGGTGATCCAGATACCGTTGCCATGGGGGAGATGGTATTGTTTCGCTGCGTCTCCTGCCCAAATTGGTTTTAGAATCGAGGGTCTACCAATCCCGGAATGCTCCATTTTGGACTTGAAGGGCCCGTTATAAATTCGGGTCATGCCAAGTAAAACAACCCGATTTGTCGGTCTAGTTTTACACAATGCCTCTCGATTATTTACCAAATCCCCAAAAAGTTATTGGTGGTTAAATGGATGGGTAAAAAAATATGGGAATAATTGCAGCCTTTTGGTGTGATTAACAATTATAGTCGTTTATTTTTTTATTTGATTATTGTTAAAAATATTTTCGATGAATTCTATCATATGATAGTCTAAATAATTGATTTTATTAATCTATAAATGATAATTATTATTCTACAATTGACACTTATACCTAACTGACACTTGCGTGTGATATGAGTTAGTATACAAGTCTTAAGGCATAACTAGAAGGGGATCTCTTCTCTCCTTTTTCTTTATATTTTTCTCTCTCATCCTTTTAAGTCTCAAGAATATTGTTTATCGTCTTAAGTACCCCTTATAACAATCGATTACGGCTCTTCGTATAAATTAAAAGGGGTGAATCGCTCATAACCGACATAACATACATTGATATCATCAACAATTTAGTGTGACGAATGTAAAATTACATCACGATGAAGAAAAACCAATCAAGATGAGCTCCATAGAACAAAACAATTAATTCAACTTGTCATCCTTAAAACCAAACCGAGCGCATCCCTAAGCCACTTGAAAGAATAGTTAATGTAATCATAGGAGGATCTCAACTTTCGACATCCTTTGACAAAAGGCCACGCCCCAACGTGTAATACTCATGGAAACTATTGCAAAAAGGCTCAAACTCATAGAAGATTAAAAAGTCAGTTCTAGGGATATGGAGTCTTCCTAAGTCTTCGACGAAACCACTGATGATCCACTAGTCGTTTCAGCTCACATCAATGACTTCTTTGTTAAAAGAGTCTTAACGAACAATGTAAGTGGAGGTATTATAATGAGAAGCTTTCCAAAAAATGGAAAGGTCACAAGAACGACTAAGCCTTGTAGATCCATTTATGGTTTCTTCAAACACTCGATGGATATAACTAGATCTATCGTGTGTTACATATTACCTTGGGAGATGACAAACACATTGTGTTACACATGGACTAGATTGATACTCTTTTACTTAGTTATCTAAATATTCAAATTTTGTTTTAGTTTAAACTATCAACGATAAAATATGAGATGCATATTTTATTGGTAAAATTAAATCACTATAAGTCATTATATTTTTATTATTCTCCCCTCTTAACGGATGTAGAAGTTTATGGTTATGTAAAATTTCTTATTTTTTTATTAAACTATATTTTAATAACTAATATAAAATAATGAGTATTCATTTAGCCCTTCATGGTACCCTATGCATTCGTCCATGCTATTGACTTGATCGATGAACCAACACAAAATTATTACTTAGCAAAGATCACTAGATAATTTTATTGATCCAAAGCAATTATATCTTAACGCGGGCATTTTTTTATTAAGTCTTAACACAAGCATGCAACAACAATATAATATAAAAGGTTTCTAAAAAAATCAATATAATATAAAAGAAATCATGCTATCTATATCTATATATTTTTAAGATCATAATACTTTATTTAATTCATTGTTTTCAAGTTTAACATGTGCTACTTATTTTCCTATAGCCAAGCCGTGTTGCACGTAGTTAAAAGAAAGAAAGAAAAAACAATAATAAAAACGTGAGAGAGTACCCAAAATATGTGGAAAAAGGCAGGAAGAAGAAACCGAGAGACAAGGGGAGCATGAAATAGTTTTTCTTGGCTTGGAATTGAACGGGTATGACAGTTAGAACCACTTTCTCTCTTAACCTCTCAAACCACATTCTCTTCCCTCTTTATATTATATATCGTTCTCACACTCCAATGGACCAAACACAATACACAGTCACTGGTTGTACGGATTCCGTGTGTGTGTGTGTGTGTGTTTTTGTAATAGTTAACTGTAATCGTTTGAATTGACTGGCGGCGGCGCCACCAGCACCACCACAAAGCCGAAGAAAAAGTCACCATACAAACTTTACAACAATCTTTCATTATACAAGAGCAATCGACTCACCCTTCTTCCTTCCTCGTTCAGCCTTTTACTTCATTTTATTTCCCTTTCGTATGGCTTTTATTGTGGATCAACAACAATCGGACTTTAAGCACGTTTGTAGAATTTGCAAGAAGGGATTTGGGTCAGGGCGAGCACTTGGTGGGCATATGAGGGCGCATGGAATAGGTGACGAGAGTGGCCACATTGACGACGACGATCATGCAAGTGATTGGGAAGATAAATTAGGAAGGAATGTTCCACCTAGCAATAAGCGCATGTACGCGTTGCGAACCAACCCTGATCGATTAAAGACCTGTAGGGTTTGTGAGAATTGTGGGAAGGAGTTCCTGTCTTGGAAATCGTTTCTCGAGCACGGTAAATGTAGCTCCGACGATGCCGAATCGCTTGTGTCCTCGCTCGGCTCGGATGGCGACAATGACACAATGAGGCGAGGTTGCAGGTGGTCCAAAAGGAAAAGATCGTTTAGAGCTAACGTGGATGATTTCAGCTCCTTTTCGCCGTCGAGCGAAGAAGAAGATCTCGCGAATTGCCTAATGCTGTTATCGAATGCAGCGGTTGATCCTTTCGTAACCGAGCTGGAGGAGTCTTGTGCTTCGGCCAGCAAAGAAGAGGAAAGAAGAAACACAGTGCATTTCATTGCTCCTATTGCATGTAGGGTAGCCATGGACAAAGCAAAAGGCGTTGCCAAAGGGCTGTTTGAGTGCAAAGCATGCAAGAAAGTGTTCAATTCTCATCAGGCATTGGGAGGACATAGAGCTAGTCACAAGAAGGTTAAGGGATGTTTCGCAGCCCGGCTGGATCGTATGGACGATAGCCAAGCATATGATGTTCCCACACACGAAGAGTTTTTCCCTAGGAAATCACTGTCATCTTTGCAATTTAATCAAGGAACCAGCACTCCATTGGCTTCTGCACCCAAAAAGAAATCAAAAGTACACGAATGTTCAATCTGTCACCGGGTCTTTTCATCAGGACAAGCATTGGGAGGACACAAAAGATGCCATTGGATCACTTCGAATTCGCCCGACACTTCCTCTTTGGCTAAGTTCCATCAGTTCCAAGATCGAACGGAGCCGAAGTTCATCAACAATTCCGAGCCACTCAATCTTAAGCTTGATCTCAATCTTCCTGCAGCAACTGAGCATCACGATATTGTACGACGGAATCACGATAATCCGTTAGGTTTCAACGTTTCGACCGGAATTTATTTACAGCCATGGTTAGGAGGCGGTGATGCCAAAGATAAAGAAGATAATCAACACCAACTGCAACAGGTTGACAATCAAACCAAAAATGATCATTGTAATAGTTTTATGCAAAATGCAGACGACGAAACTGACAGAAAGTTGAAGCTAACAAAACTAAAGGACATCAATATGAGTGGAGGTTCATCCCTGGCTGCAAGTTGGGATTGGTTATTTGAACAAAATTAAAAAGTTGGGATTGGTACAACTACTAATGCTGGCTATGACTCTTAATTAAATATTTTGTAATGCTTAATTGCATAATTATGATAATGTCCTCATTTATATTACTTTTCATCTTTTTTTACACATTTTGTATGTATATATATTCTAAAACAGAGTGCAATTATAAATTTAATTAAACTAGTTTATCAAATATCAATGTTGGCATGTTTTGGTCTAACTTGAAAAAGGAGATTTACAGAAACTGTTTTTGGTTCAGTCTGCAGTATAGCGGACCAGGGATTCAAAGCTATAATGCGGTCCAAGCGCCGTTATTGACCAAAATAGTGGGGTGAAACGGATTCACACTAATACGGTCGATAACGACCGTAACTTAACAGTTAACAGCCGATCGCTACTGCCGTTTTTTCCGTTACACCATGTCAACAACATACCAAGTCAAGATCAAGTATTCAATCATTCAAAATAAAAGAAAAAATAGCCCAACTGAATAAGTACATGAACATATTGTTTCTTGCTTTTTGCTTTAACAGCTTCTTCCTTCCTGTTTTTCTTTTAGTGTAACATGCAAAATTTTGAGAAAAAAAATGGGTATTTATGGTAGGAATCGAAGTAGAAACCAAAGTATGTTTAAGAACTTAAAAAATTAACAAGAAAATAGATGATTTTTTTAAAATTAAATCCAATTTTCTCTTTTTTTTGCTCTGCCTTTATGTTTCTGCCTCCTCTCTCTCACTCAAGCACGCGATAGAAGAAGAAGAATAAGGGGTTTGGGGAGTTAATAATATTTTATTTTAATTATGTTTTAAATAACTTTTTTCTACTTTTAATATTTTGGGTTTGGACCAAATCAGACCCGATAATTTAATTAGATTTGGGTTATAAGCTTATAGTATCATGGGTTTTCTTTTAAATAAATGATGAGTTATTTTTACTTTTATGAGTTTTAAATTATAATATTTTGATTTTGGTAAGTGAATAATAATCGATAATTTTATGGGTTAATTTTTTAAATGGGTTAAGATTTATTTGTGAGATTGAATGTTCAATTTAAATTTTATACACTAAAACTATTTTTATAATTTATTATTCTATGCATTATATGGCTTAAGGGTCAGAGTTGCTCCTGTAGTAGATCAAATTTATCAATTTAGTCCTTATCGTATTTTCGTATCAATTTGGTCCTTAAAGTTGTTTAATTTCATCAATATATACATTTGATCGTGTTGACTAACAAGACCATTAGTTTCAGCTGATGTGGATTCCAACTGTTGCCAACAAAGCTTTTTTACTGACATGTAAACATGCTGATGTGACAATAACACAAAAAAATCTTTTTTTTATGTTAACAATTACACGGGTTATATAACAAAACCTAAAATTAATAATCATTCCACGATCGTAAGCATCCCCATTTCTTCATCTCCCTTTCTTTCATCCCAGACTCTTCATCGTCATATCCAGGCAGGTAAGGGTTTTCAATTTCATTTTTTTCTTTTCTTTTATTTTGTTCTTATCATTTGAAAACCCTAAAGTACTCAACTTTTTTTATCTTATTTGAATTTTCTAATTTTAAATCAAAACCCCGAAATTGCATTCTTTAACCATTGTTTTTCACTATTTTATAATGGCATTGTTGAAGAGTGTGACTCGTAATCGTGCTTATAATATGACTGTCATAACCATTTTTTTATAAAAATAATTTAATATTATTAAAAAAACGATTACGACTTTAATTTTGGAAAATTTGGTGATTTTGGAATTAATTTGGAATAAATTGAATAGAGTCGCCATCGACCTTTAGGTTAGGTAGGTCGAATACCTAAAAAACGTCTTTTAAAACAATTTAAAAAAATCATTTTATAAGACAAAATTTGGTATGCGTCACCAAAGATTCGATTAAATGGATTCGGGAATCGGTTACGTGTAGGGAAGAATTAACACCCCACAACGCCCAAAAACTGGTACTGTGTCGCTTACACATTGTCGTAATGGTAGAAATTACAAATCGAATATAAAATTAAGATGTGATCCTTTTATTGAAATTTAATCAATTTGCTTCGAATAAATTAATTAGAAAATTCTTTAACTCGAAAAGAAATATCGAAATTAGTAATCCTCCCATCAGGAAAGCTAACTCGACTATTTCTAGTTAATAAAAGAATATTCCCTCATTGATAAATATGCAAATCGAATATAAATGAAATTAACGTTTGCATTCAAATAAAAATGAAATAAATACTAAATTAAAAACACACATTGCATTATTAAAATAATTAATTAGTAAAATATACTCGACTTGTTGCAAGTTCCTATGTCGTTAAAATGCCGTATCGGATCGTACCACTTCGACCAAGTGGTACTTCCCACGCCCATTCTATGCATACGTGTTCTTGAAAATATAGTCGATATTTCATACAGGGATCAAAATATAATGAAAATAAATGTAATTGAAAACAAGATAAATATTACATTAAATGAAATTAAAACATTATTTACATAATACAAATAACCAAATATAAGTGCAATAATCATACATAAATGACTAAATAAAAGAAAATATTATAAACCAAGATAAGATTATCAAAAGGTAAATATTTGTAATTACAAGGATCAAAAGGAAGAAAAACAGAAACTTGATGTACTAAAATAGTAAATACAAATTTAAGGGAGTAAATAGCAAATACAGAATTGAATAGGTTAAAAATAGAAAGAAAAGAAATTTAGGGACCAAATAAAGAAATAAACTAATGGGACTAAACAGTAAAAACCAAAGTCCGAATTACAAATATTAATAATACATGTATCAAAATGAAGATAACCCAAAATAATATAGAGGACTAAAATGAAATAAACAGAACATAAAAGATCACAAAGTAATTAAACCAAACATCAAACAATGACTAAATAGAATATATACGAATATGGTGACCAAATTCAAATAACAGTAAAGATAAATGCATGGGATCAGTGATTAAATTGAATATTTGAAAATATTAAATCCAGAATCAATATAGACAAATATGATATATAAAACATGAACAGTGACTAATACGAAATAAATATAAATATCACAACCAAATTATAATATCAGCAAACAAATATATAAATTAATGACTGAAATGCAATCATTAAAAACTAAAAGGCTCGAAATAAAACAATAATATTTCATTAAATGACTTAAAAAATCATTACAAAGGAGAGACCTAAAGTGTAGTTAACCCAAACGATGAAATTACAGACTGGTCCCCCTTGAAACTACGTCGTTTCGTGGGAGATATATATCCATAAGCCTAAAGCTTTCTCATTCCATCTTTTCATTTGCTTCCTTTCAGCCGAAGCAGAGAGAAGAGAGAGAGATTTAAAAATCAACCTCTCCTCGTCGGGGAGGGGAGCCACGACAGAGCTCGTGGTGTGAGCGGCGGCGTACGGCGACGCCGGTGGCCGGAGGAAGTCAAAAGAACCAAAATGTTCCTCTCCTTCCCCTATACCTCGAAAAAACACCCCACTCGACCTAAAGCCAACCCTAAATCCCTAGATCTAGGTGATTACCTTCGAAAGAAAGAAAGAGCACGACGAATTTCAGGCTTCCACGGCCTCGGACCACGGTGAGATACCTCTCTCCATCTCTTCTTCCTTTTGTTTTTCTTTTTTTGTTTCGGTATCCCTGTTTTTTTCAGTTCGAATGGGTTTTCTTTTTTCTTTTTTTTTTTGGTTTTTTTCTCCTCCCCCTCTCTGAACCTGAATGCCTCTTTTAAAATGGTTGCCTCTCTCCTTTTTGTTGTGGTTGCTGAATGATGATATCTAGAACTTAGGGAAATTATGGGTGATTTGGTAGCTGGTGAAATCCTGAACTTTCGGGATTTAATTTGTTTTAAATGGGTTCACTTGATGATACATATTTTGATTTTTTTGCTGTTCTTAACTGTTAATAGATTGATGGAGGGACCTTCGGTCACTGTGGATGCAGGCAGCCGGCGTCAGAGGCTGTCGGCGAGGGTACGCTCGGCTTGAGCGGCGGCGGCGAGGGGATGCTCGGCTGAGAAGCTGGAACGTCAAGCGGCGGCGGCTGGGAGACCAAACGGCGGTTGAGCTAGGGTTAACTGCATTTAGGGTTTAAAAACCCTAAATGCAATCTGGGTTGCTGAACATGTCTAGAGCTGGGCCTCGGGTTAGCTGGGTTTGCTGCGGGATTGGGCCAGTTCATTTGTATCTGCTGTTGGGCTTAGGGATTAGGCCTACAAAAATATGTAAATAATAATGATAATGAATATAATAATAATAAATAATAATAATAAAAATAACGATAATAATAATATATAAAAAAAACCCGGACAAAAACGGGTGTCTACAGCTGCCCCTCTTTGCGCATTCTTGTGTTAACAAGAATAGGGCAAAGATGAAAAGACATCACGTTTTTGTCTGGCTCTCTCCCTTAGAAATTGGATAATTTTGGTTGTTGGGGACGACACTGCTCATACGTGATGAAGAGTTCGGGTCGTTTTAAGGTTAACGCGGTTCCTACGTGATGAAGAAGTCTGGTCGGGGAATGATACGGCTCATACGTGATGAAGAGTTCTGGCCATCTAAAGGTGATAACACGGTTCCTACGTGATGAGGACGGCTGGTTATCTATGTTTGACATGGCTCCTACGTGATGAGGAGATCTGGTCTGGGAATGACACGGCTCATACGTGATGAAGAGTTCTGGCCATCTTTAGGAGTTATGGTTTCAAGAGAAACCAAATTAAAGATTTGTTTCAAAAGAAACAGACTCAAAGATTTGTTTCAAGAAAAACAAGCTCAAAGATAATGTGTTTCAAAAGCAACTGTCTCGAAAGAGACAAAATTCATTTCAAATGAAACAACTCAAAAGATGACGTTTAAAGGGAATTGTCTCAAGCGAGACAAAATTTGTTTTTAAGGGAAAAGTTCTCAAATATCTGTGTTTCATGGGAAACTGTCTCAAATGAGACAAAATTCATTTCAAGGGAAACGATCTCAAA